CTCTCTTTCTCTCTCCTTTTTCTTTCTAAAAAAATACAAATGAGGTATATTTTCAGCAAATGATGCTGAGACAAGTGGATATTTATAAAAAGAAATGAAGAACATAATTACTTCACAGCATAAATAAAAATAAATTTTAAAGATACATAGACCTAAATGTAATAGTTAAAACTATAAAACTTAAAGAAAATGGCAAAGAGTAAGTATGTAAAAGGAAGGAAGTGTGGGAAATGATATTGCTAGGAATGATAATGATATGCTAGGGAATGATAATGCTAGGGAATGATATTGGCCAAAATTTATTGTTCTATTATAGGCATGTAGGAAGACATAGCAATGAGTCCCACCATTATGTACAACTATGAAAATTATGTAGGACTCTCTGCTGGCAAATAATATTTTAGATGGGATACAAAAGCATAAATCATAAAAGAAGTTATTGATGAATTGTACTCCAAAAAATTATATAACTTCTACTCTTTGAAGACATTCTTTTTTAAAAAAGAAATTATTTTTTAGTTGTAGTTGGACACAATGCTTTTATTTTATTTATTTATTTTTATGTGGTGCTGAGGATCGAACCCAGGGCATCACACATGCTAGATGAGTGCTCTACTGCTGAGCCACAACCCCAGCCCCTGAAGACATTCTTAAGAAAGAAAAGAATTTTTTTAAAAAAAAGTCACACAGACTGAGAATAAATATTTGCAAAACTTATCTACCATAATGAGTTTTAATTTTTAAAAAAACTTAAAAATAGGAATATAAAGAACCCAATAAAAAATAGGCATATAATTTAAACAGACACATTAACAAAGAAGATATATGAATGGCCAATCAACATATGAGAAGAAGCCAACATTATATATGAAGAAAATAGAAGGGAAAACAAAAATGTGGTGCCACTGCAGTGGCCAAAATACAAAAAGACTAACAACAACAAGGGGTGTGGGATACCTGGAAGGGAGATTTAAAACAGCACAGTCACATCACAAGACCATTTGGTGGTTTGGCCTAAAGTAACCACGTAAGCAAAAAAAATCCCATTCCTAGGTATTCTCCAGTAGAAAGGAAAACATGTCCACATAAGAACCTGCATGCAAATGTGCATAGCATCTGTAGTCAAGTAGTTAAAAACTGGAAATACACCAAATGTCCATCAATTAGTGAACTTCAAACCAATAACCAATGTTTGATACTCCTTATGGAATCCCATTCATAATAAAAAGGAGTAAACTTAAGATACAGCAATAAGAGCCAGACTGTAATCCCAGCAGTTTAGGAGATTGAGGCAGGAGGATCACAAGTTCATATTCTGAATATTAATCCCTTATTGAACAAATAATTTTAAAATACTTTCTCAACTGTTTGTTTCCTCACTCTGTTAATCATTTCCTTGGCTAAAGAGAAGCTTTTTAGTTTGACATAATTCCACTATCAAAACTTCTTTTGTGAAAGGTTCATATAGTTTAGAAATCAGTCCAGTTTTTTTATACACATAATTCACCTAAAAATAGGTGTATATATATATATAAATGCACATGTATGCTATATAATATATCATATATGTATACAATTTTTGTATGTTGATTTTATCCTGCAACTTTTCTGAATTTGTCAGATCTAACTGGAGAGTTTCAGATTTTTCTCTGTATAAAATCATATCTGCAAAGAGAGGATAATTTGACCTCTTATTTTCTTTTTATTTGGATGCCTTTCTCTTGCTGACTTGCTCTCAGCTATGTTGACTAAGAATAGCAAAAGCAGGCATCCTGATCTTATGGGACATGATTTCAGCTCTTCCCCATTCAATGTGATGTTGTTGTGGTTCTATCATATTTAGCCTCTATTATGCTGATGTACATTCATTCTTTATCTAATTTGTTGAGGGCTTTTGATCATAAGGGGATGTTGAATTTTATCAAAGGCTTTTCTGTACCTATTGAGAAAATCATATGAGTTTTTTGTCCTTCATTTTGTTGATACGATGTATTACATTTATTGATTATATATTGAACCATCCTTACATTCCTGGAATACACCCTACATGATCAGAAAGGTTAGCTAATGGCTAAAGTCAATTTTTCATATTATATTCTACAAGAAGGGAAGAATTCATCTGCCGAGTGGAGGAGAGACAAGTACTTTATGAACAAATAAACCTCATCTAAGATTCTGCATTTGTTCAAATGTAATAATTGACACCAAAACAAAACTTATTTGTCACTGTAAAGCAATGAACACAAAAAAGTACAGATAATGGAGTAAAGGCAATTGAATATACCACAGCAGGGAATATTACCTACCTTATTTTGCAAAGCCATCACTATCCTGATGCCAAAAATTTGAAAAAGAAAATTTGAGAAAAAAAATATTGGAGACTAATGATAAATATAAATACAAACACTCTGAGCAAAATGTAGCAATTCAAACTGAACTGTGGGTGGGTGTATGAATTTTTTAAATACATTCAAACACAAACACCTACATAGTTATTCTATTTAGAGGCAGACCAAATATATGTCAATATTGACAGATATAGAGAATATAATTGATCAAATTGTACATGCATTTTGATTAAAAAGAAGGCATAAAAGTAAAAGAATAGGGCAAATAAAACAAATATTAAGCCAGATCACAGAATCCTATACACAAAAATTATAAATCAATCTACAAATTGTTAGCAATGATAAGTGAATTTAGCAAGGTTTCTAGATGTAAAGTCCTCACATGTAAATTTTATCTCCATATACCAGAAACAAAGAAATAAAGAAGGTATTTTTAAAAGTATACAAGTCACATTAACATCAAAAATATCATTTATTTTGGGACAAAGGAAGATAGGAAAGCCATTGCATTGAAAACAAAACAATATTGAGAAAATTAAAGAAAGCCTAAATGAATTGGGAGTATAATTATATGCATGAACTGAAAGATTCAACACATCAAAACATGCTTTCCAAACATATTTATAGATTTAATGTCACTGATAAATAAGCAAACACGTTTTGGGAAATCGACAAACTCATACTTTTTTTTTTCTTAGAGAGAGAGAGAGAGAGAGAGAGAGAGAATCTTTTTTTTTCTTTTCTTTCTTCTTTTTTTTTTTTTTTTTTTGTAGATGGACACAACACAATGCCTTTATTTTTATGTGGTGCTGAGAATCAAACCTGGGTCCCACCCGTGCTAGGCGAGCGTTCTACCGATAAGCCACAATCTCAGCCCAACAAACTCATACTTTTGATACATATTTTAAAATGTGAACACCTAAGTGCAGCCAAAAAATTAACAGAAAAAGTTTGTAAGACACAAATCAAGACTTGTTATATAACTTTATAAACCCAAACTGAAAACAGCAGATTAATTAGCTGCCACACATATGAGTTTTGCACTTGCCTCATCTATTGTTGATAAAGAATCAGAAACATACACTAAAATTGGGAACTTTAAGAGCATTGAAGCACAGTTTAAGAGACAAGCTCACCTTGGGGATGAAGTAGTTTCTAAATTTAACATCACAAGTCACTGCATGGGGCAGACTGGTGGGGATGAAATCAATGTATCTCTGGATCTCATGTAACACAGCCTCTGTGTAAGGCATGCACTTCCTGTCCTGCATGCAAGGGCTACGGTGTCTGCCAATCACTTGGTCAATCTCTTCTTGGACTTTAGCTGATAAGACAAAATTAAGAACTGAGGGAAAAGGAGAAAATGGCATATTTGTCATAACATTTCAGGACTACAGGAAACATAATGGTGTACCAACAGTATTATAAAGCCATAATTATATCTAGATTTGCTTTTACAGGTACACACAACTCTCTTCCAAAGTAGGCATTAAGACAAATCTGTAAACACATTCACAATAGCATATAAGATAGCAATAAAAATAGAAATGATTAAAAAAACTTGAATTATATAAATATTTAGCACATTATGAACTGAAGAAATTACTGTCCTTGTAGGAAAAAAAAACACAAAATAAGAATTAATTTCATGGGCTAGGGCTGTAGCTCAGTGGCAGATTGCTTGCCTAGCATGAGTGAGGTACTGGGTTCAAATCTTAGCACCATATAAAAATATTTTTAAATGAATGAATAAATAAAAAATAAAATAATGAAAAAGAATTAACTTCATATCAAATTAATACAATAAATACAAACATTCTGAGCAAAATGCATCAAATTAAACTGATTCCCTTCCCACCTATAGTATCACCTTGTCCATCCTGAAGTGGCTACTCCCTTGATCTGGGGCCCAGCACACTCTCATCTTTGTATATGAGTTATCCTGATTTTGGAGCCTATTACTTTAGTTCACTTGATTTCAGATATTTGGATAAAGTATAACCTCTAGTATCTTTGTGAGAAAATAAAAACATAGAAAGACATAAAAAGGGACTTTAAGAATGTTAAATGTGAGGAGAAATGGAGAGCACATATAGAGTTTTTTTACTAGCATATTTTTCTGATTTTTTATTAATTTATTAATTTGTTCTAATTTGTTATACATGACAGCAGAATGCATTTCAGTTCATAGTACTCAAAACTTTCAAAATTATATAAAGAAATGGAAATTAAATAATTTTACTATAAACAACCAATGGGTCAAGGGTGAAATCAAAGAGAAATAAATTTTCTTTAAACAAATGAAATATTTTTAGCAACCAATACCTACATTAATCAAGCAGAAAGAAATAGAAGGGATGCTGGACACAAGATGCACACCTGTAATCCCAGCAACTCTAGAGAATGAGGCAGGAGGATCATAAGTTCAAAGCCAGCTTCAGTAACTTAACAAGACCCTGTCTCAAAAATAAAAAATAAAATGGAGTGGGGATATAGCTCAGTGGTAAAGTGCCTCTGGATTCAAATCCAATAATAATAATAATAATAATAATAATAATAATAATAATAATGGGATATCAATAGAGTAGAGCATGCAAGTCAGGAAAAAGGGAGAAAAGGAAAGGAAAGACACTGGGGGATAATATTGATCAAATTACATTGTGTGCACACACACATATGGCATGATGAAACTCACTATTATGTATAATTATTATTAACCAATAAATTTTTTTTAAATCAGAAAAATCTCAAATAAACAGCCTACTATTGCATCTCAAGGAACTAGAAAAACAAGAACAAACAAAATTAGGAAAAGGAAAGAAAGAATAAAGATCACAGCAGAAATAAATAGAGACTAAAAAATGACAAGGATAAATGAAACAAAAAGCTAATTCTTCAAAAAGAAAAAGTTGAAAAACTCTGAGATAGTCTAACAAAAAGAGAACAAAGACATGAATAAATAAAAACAAAGATGAAAAGGGAGACATTACAACAGACACGACAGATATATAAAAAAATCATTAGAGACTATTATTAATAACTATCCACAACAAATTTGGCAAACTTAAAAAAAACAATTGGACAAATTACTGGACATATACCTCTTACCAACATTGAATCTTGAAGAAATAGAAAACCTAAGCAGACCAATAAAAAGTATCCAGATTGAATCCACAATTAAAAAGTCCCCCATCAAAGAGAAACCCAGGATCAGATGATTTCACTGCTAATTCTACCAAATCCTTAAAGATGTTCAATAATTCTTAATTTGTTCCCAAACATTGAAGAGGAGAGAATTTCTCCAAGCATCTTTTACAAGGATAGCATTACCCTAATACCAAAATCAGATAAGGGTACATTAAAAAAATACACGTTAATATTCTTGATGAACAAAAATATAAAAATCCTCAACAACATACTAGCAAACAGAATCCAAAGGCATGTTTAAAAGATTACTCACATTGATCAAGTGGGATTCAGAGAAGCAAATATGATTCAGTATTTGCAAATCAATAATATGAAACAAAATCTCAGCACAACAAAGAACTAAAACCATTTGATCATCTCAATTATACTGCATGACACTGAATGAGGAAAAAGCTAAATGTTTCTAAGATCTGGAACAAGACAAGAATACCTACTTATCACTTTTCAAAATAGTACTAAAAGTCCTAGCCAGATTATTCAAGCAAGAGAAAGAAAAAAATGTCCTCCAAGTTGGAAAATGGAATTCTAATTTTCTAATTATCACTGTTTGCAGATAACATGATCTCACACATAGAAAATTCAAAGATTCTACACACAAAAACAAAAGTTAGAAAAAAAATGAATTAAACAAGGTTGTAGAATACAAAACACAAAAATCAGTAGTGCTGCTATATGCCAATAGTAAATTATCCAAAATAAAAAGAAAGACAGAAATCCCACTTACAATAGCTTCAAAAAATTAAACAAAATATCTAGGAATAAATTTAACCGAAAAGGTAAAAGATCTATACAATGAAAACTATAAGACATTGATGAAAATAATTGAAAAGGACACACAAAAAATTGGAAAGAGGGAGAATAGTAGAGGATAGGAAAGGCAGCAGAATACAACAGACACTAGTATGGCAGTATGTAAAAACGTGGATGTGTAACCAATGTGATTCTGCAATCTGTATATGGGGTAAAAATGGGAGTTCATAACCAACTTGAATCAAATGTATGAAATATGATATGTCAAGAGCTTTGTAATGTTTTGAACAACTAATTTAAAAAATTAGAAAGACATTCTGTGTTCATGGATTAGAAGAATCAATATTTTTTAAATGTCATAGTACCTAAAGCAATCTACAGGTTTAGTGCAGTCTCTATGAAAACACCCAGTGGTGTTCTTCATAGAAACTAGGGGAAAAAAAGCCTAAAATTTGAATGAAAACACGCATATATACATAAACACCCTAAATAACCAAAGTCATCTTTTGTGGGAGGGAGAGGGTACTGGAGATTAAACTCAGGGGCACTCAACCACAAAGCCACATCCTCAGCCCCATTTTGTGTTTTATTTAGAGACAGGGTTTCACTGAGTTGCTTCAAGCCTCACTTTTGCAGAAGCTGGTGTTGAACTCACAATCCCTGCCTCAGCCTCCTCCTTGTTGCTGAAGCTGGCTTTGAACTCACAATCCTTCTTATCAGCCTCCCAAACTTCTGGGATTACAGGCATGCACCACCACACCCAGCACCTTGTGCCAAAGTCATCTTAAGCAAAAACAGGAAGCATTACACTGCCCGAATTCAAAATATGCTACATGACTGAAGGAACCAAACAGTGTGGTATTGGCATAAAAACAGACACAGAGACCAATAGAATGGAATAAACATCTTAGAAGTAAACTCATTCCTCTGCAGTCAACTAATTTTTCACAAAAGTAATAAAAACAATCATTGGAAAAAAGGCAGTCTTCTCAATAAATAAAAATTGGGTATCCACATGCCACAGACTGAAACTAGACCTGTGTCTCTCAATGTTTACAAAATTCAACTCAAAATGGATTAAAGACTTAAATATAAGACCTGAAACTATGAAATTAGTAGAAGAAAATATAAGGAGAATGTTTTAGAACATCAGAATTGGCAAGGATTTTTTGGACAAGACCACAAAAGAACAGAAAACAAAAGCAAAAATAAACAAATGAGATGATATCAAAATAAAAACTTCTGCACAGCAAAGAAAATAATCATCAGACTAAAAGAAGACTGGAGAGTAAATTTTTTCATCAATTTGTAAATCTGAAACTATCCTTTGTCTATGAGCACACAAGCTGACAGCTGTTTGTAAGAATTTTAATGCCATTCTGATTCTTAATCTTTGTATAATTACTTGATTTATCTCTGAAAGTATTGGTAATTTCTCCCTTAAGTGTAGTGTTCTGAAATTCCATGGGTGAATATTTTCATTACATTCCTTTTTCTGGACATTCAGTGAACATTTTCTTTATAGTTGGCAAAAAAAAAAAAAAAAATAGAGGTCTTTCCACTGGCACTTCTCATTCTCTGGAGTTTATATCTGGCTGCTGAATTTCAGAAGCATAATGGAGACAGAGCTAAGGACCTTGGAATTTGAGTGAATTCTTCCTTAACCCTTCTTTTCAGCCTGCACCTCACTCTTTCTCTGCCTTTTTCTGTGTCCCTGCGTGTTGAACCTCTTAGGATTCCATTTCCTTTAGAGAGTTAGCCTCCCTTAGCTCCGGAGGGGGGGCGGGGGGAGATAAAATCACTGATAAAGAAAGATGAGGTAGGAGCCAGGGGAAGAGCCTCCTGTTTCCTGCTTCATTCTCCCTCTACTTTCTTTGCCACTTGGCTCTTCCAAATACTGAGCTGTATGGGGAATTGCAGGGACAAAATTAGCCTGCATACACGATAAATCTTCTTGTGAATTAAGGTTATAACTGCAGTGTCCTACCAAAACATTGTCACTTGCCATCTGCTCTTTGTGTCTCTAAAGTTTGCTAAAGACTTGTTAGCTGTTTCCTGTACTTCTCTAATTTCAATAGGAGTAATTCTCATTTGTAATTAATTTGTCATCATCTATCTCAGAAAAATGTAAAGGGTATGGCTAATCTACTATGCAGAACCAGAGTCTTTTAAAGGCAAATCATTTTTTTAAAATGGTAAGTATTTTTTAAAGAAAAAAAGTATTGACCCAAGAAAAAGTCTTACCTTGACAGATATATTTTTTCTGCACTCAGAATCCTAGAAAAATAAAATTCCTTGGGCACATCTTCTCCCTCAATAGGAAATAACTTTCTTATAAATCTAATCTTTTAAAATAATTCCAAGACTATAAATATTCTCAGGCTGTCTCATCACATTTCTAGAATATCTACTGTGCTTAAATAAATTTCTGTCTTCGCTGCACCAGCATTAGAATACTTTGTTTTCAGAATAAGGAAAGCTCTTTAAGAATATACTACTATGGTTTTGATAGGGTTTCAGTGTTTCTCCTGAAGTGTCATGTGCTAGAAGCTTGGTCCCCAATGTAGCAATGAGACAAAGTGAAACCTTTAAGAGCGGGGGCCTAAAGGGAGGTAATTAGGACATAGGAGCTCTACCCTAAGAAGGTGTTAAGTGGCCTCACAGAGTAAATTACCTTCCAAGAGAATGGGTTGTTAGAAGAAAGTCTACTTCTTACCCTGAATCTCCCTTCCGCATGGGCCACTTATCACCCTCATATTTGTTCACACAACTCTAATGCCATCCACCATGAGACCCTCACTAGAGCTGATCAGATGTCAATGTCATGGTCTCAAACCTCCAGAATGGCAACTAATAAACCTCTTTTCTCTATAAAGTAGTCAGCTTCAGGTATTTTGTTATACACAAAAAAAATATGGGCTAAGACACCATTGAAAGCGGTCTGTTGCCAGGCATGGTGGTGCATGTCCATGATTCCAGCAGCTTGGGAGTCTAAGGGAGGAATATGACAGCTTTGAAGCCAGCCTCAGCAACTAAGCAAGGCTACGATCAACCTAGTGAGACCCTGTCTCAAAATGCCCCTGTGTTCAGTTCCTGGTACCAAAAATTAAAAAAAAAAAAAAAGTGGTCTGTTACTCAGAAAAACAATATATAAGCTTAGTCCAGTCCATTATGCTTGTACTAGATGCTTTACCCAGAGTACTTTCTTTCCACAGATTACTTTCTCACTAACACCTCAAGCTCTATTCTTTTGCTTCTGCTCACCTATTTTGAAAAATTATCTTTTTTTAATATTTATTTTTTAATTGTAATTGAACACAATACCCTCATTTTATTTGTTTATTTTTATGGTGCTGAGGATTGAACCCAGGGCCTCATACATGCTAGACGAGCACTTTACCACTGAGCCACAACTCCAGCCCCAATTATCTTATTTTTATACCTTCATTATATTTGCACAAATTATAGCTAGTGGCATAGAAATTTTAATACTGGAGCTTCTCAGAGACCCAAGATGGAGGACACTATCAGTGTCTTCACATGTTTCTGAAATTCACCCTGCTCACTGTATGTGGTCATACCTGTGATATCTGTATGCTTTAGCAGGAGCAAAAGTCCATATCTCATAGTGGTGCTTGTTGACTCCGTTCCCGCTCCAAACAAATCAGTTACAGTGGTTAACAAGTTTTCAATGGTAAATTCAGTCTGTTGATTGTCCTTTCCCTGGGAATTACATGATTATTTCATTATTTGACGACTTTCCAGCATATTTATTATAGTGAAACCAAATAACTCAGATTTTTCTAAAGAAGAGAAAACTTCAACAATAGAGAATTTAGTATTAAAATTGTAATAATCACATAGTTTAGCAGTGAATGTAGCACCACAAAGGAGGAAGAGAAGGTAGCTCATATACAAAATGTAGTAATGAAAAATGACAAGCACCTGTGTCCATAATGGTTTAGGGCTAGTGCACTAGTTCTAAAGTAATCAACATGAGACTCCTTATATGTGAAATAAATACACTATTTTGTGAAGCCCTTGTTAAACTGGGTTTTCTCCTGTTGGTATACACACACAATTTTATTTCATAGAAATGTTTATGTTAGAGCCAAATCTTAAAAAAAAAAAAAAATGTTATAAACCAGGAAAAAAAAAGAGTTTGCAATTCTGCAATGTGGCAGAATAAAAGGCTCCTGACTCTCCCTTTACACATGCATGCACTAAGTAAATATCTATTTCTATATCAAGTACCTGTGAGATAAATTTAGAATCAAGTGAAGTGAAAACGTCTACATCTAACAAGTAGGAAAAACTCTTGTATACTTATGTCGGATCCCACTCCAAACACTGTACCATAGATTCTGGGATGAAATCCCCAACACCTAGAGGAGAGGCAGGTTTGGACCACCATCATAACACCCTAACTCAAAGGTTCCTCCCAGTTTTCTCGAAATTTACTCTCAGAGTGGAGGAATTAGGCATATAGGAGTCTCTCTAGACCACAGGGGGGTGGGGAAGTGGTTTTATATAGGAGCACAAGCACTTCCAGGGGATTTATACCCAATAATTGAGGCAGATAAGGGCATAAAAGTCAAAGTTCCTATCTGGAAGGGATGTGTTAGCATACCCTGCCAAATGCTGCCACTCACAAATGAGCTTCTAATTAACCTGCATCAGAGAGCTAACCAACCCAACAAGGAGTATATTTCTGACAGCCTGAGAAGAGCTTGGTACTTCCTTAGTGTTCCTCATGATGCCCCCTCTCCCCATAATAAAAAACAAGTCGACCCATTTGCACTGGAAGGGGCTTGTCTATGCACTGAGCACCACAATTTCTATAGCTTTCACCTAAGGGACCACTTTCTTAATCAACACAAACAACTCTGGTTGTGTCCTTAAATCACAGAAAACAAAGAGAAGAATAAACAGTAAGCCCACTTCCAGCAGCTCTCTGCCCAGGATCAGAGAGAATGATTGGAATTTGAGTGCAGGCATTTGTGGATCCTCCCCCTAGATTAGTAGAGAGAGAGTTAAAGATAAACACCTGATCCCAATTTCACGGTGAGGAGAATGCATTAATAAATAAGACCGAAGGGGCTGGGATTGTAGCTCAGTGGTTGAGCACTAGCTTCAATCCTCAGCACCACATTTTTTTTAAATAAATGAATAAATAAATAAATAAAACGAAGATATTAAAAAAAAACTAACAACATTTCTGAAAAAACAAAAAAAAAAAAACCTAACTACATGATACATATATAAGACTCACTTCACCTTCAAGAACACTACAATTGAAAGTGAAGGGATAGAAAAAAAACATTCCATGAAAATGAAAACCAAAAGATAGCAGGGATAGCTACATCTACATCAGACAAAACACTGGGTCAAACACTAAAAAGAGACAAAGAAGGTCATTATGAAATGATAAAGTGACTAATTCATCAAGAAGATGTGACAATTATAAATATATATGCATCCAACATTGGAGCATGTAAACATTTAAACTAAACATTAAGAGATCTGAAGGAATGCATAGATTACTAAACCAAAATAGGAGTATCCCACTTTTAACAACAGATAGATAATACAGACAAAAATTCAGTATAAATATATTGGACTACACTTTAGACCAGATGCACTTAATGGACATAAAAAGTATTCTATCCAACAGTGGTATGCTCATCCTTCTCAAGTGCACATGGAACATTCTCCCAGGTAAATCATGGATTAGGCCACAAAACTAGTCTTAACAAAATTAAAAAGACTGAAACTTTATCAAATTATCTCTTCAGACCACAAAGGTATGAATCTAAATATCAATAATGAGAGGAATCAAGGCTGGAAATCACAAATGCATGGAAATTAGACAAGATATACCAGAACAATTATTGAGTTAAAGAAAAATTATTAGGAAAACTAAAATATATCCTGCAATAACTGATAATGGAAACAATATATCATGACTCATGGGACACACCAAAAGCAGTTCTAAGGGGAAGTTGGAGGAGGAGGAGAAAGTTGATAATAACATGAAGCAATCTGAATACTGACCTCAGAGTGTGTCTTTAACAAACACCACCCAATTTAACATTCCTACCCAGTGCTCCAGATCAGCATTAATTTAATAAGGTTCCTATAATTCTGAAGTGACCTGTGGCATGCTTAATATTATGTAATCAACCCAACTAAAATAGATACTCCTCAACAGAAATACTTGGTAAGCAAACGTAATCAATCATCCCTATTGGTAACATCAACTTCACACAGTTTCTAAGATTGTCAACTCAAAATTACAGTAAGGGTAGGAAAGAGTGCAACACTTATAAACCAATACTAATATTTGCATCAGTTCAAATGAATTTCAAGAATCTGTGATTATGTACAAATTACACTACTAGAGTAGTAATTGAAATCAGCTAGCTTACATAAAACATTGTGGAAAAATTAAATAAAACCCAGTTAAATAGAAAGATATCTCATGTACATCTACTAAAATCCTTAGTATTGTTAAGATGACATTACTCCTCAAATTGGTCTAAATATTTAAAGGGATCCATATCAAAATCCCTGCAAGCTTCTTTGCAGAGTTGATAAGGTTATCCTAAATTTTTTATGGAACTTCACATGACCTAAATGCTTAAGAGCCAAAACAAAATTAGAAAAGAACAGAACTGGAGTCATAACAGTTCCTGATTTCAAAATTAAAAACTTCATTAATTAAAGTTATGTGATATTAGCAGAAAGAAAGATACATAGATCAATGGAATAGAATTAAAAGCACAAAAATAAACCCTCATATATAGTCAATTGATTTTCAACAAATGTTATAAGATCATTCAATGTGGAAATAATACCTTCAACAAGAGATTTTGGGATAACTGGATATCCACATGCAAATGAATGAAGCTGGAACCATACCTCACACAATGAAAATTTAACTAAAAGTGAATCATATACATGAAGGTAATAGTTAAAATCATAAAACCCTTAAAAGAAACCTTAGAGTAAACCTTCATGACTTTGGTTTAGGTAATTGTTTCTTAGTTATGACCCAAAAGTTACAAGCAATCAAAATGGAATTGCACACAAAAAGAAAACTTTTCTATTTCAAAAGACATTTTAAAGAAATTGAAAATGTGACACACAAAATGGGAGAAAATATCTTCAATCCTCATATCAGTATAAGGAACTTGTATCTAGTATACATAGGCCCAAGGCAACTTAACAGGACCCTGTCTCAAAATAATAAAAATAAAAGAGATAGGGATATGGCTCAGTGGTAAAGCACCTCTGGGCTCAATTCCTGGTACCAAACACCAACACACACATACAATCACACACACACAACACACACAGTGAAAGAACACTTCACACCCTCTAAGATGGCTGGAATAAAAAAGATAGACACTTTGGTGAGAAGGCAGTAAAACTGGAGCAAACATTGCAGAG